GACTGTATTGGTGATGCGCTTGCTAAACATGATAAGCTGCTCTACAGTTAAGTGCAAATCGATAGATAGCTTTCCTTGCCATTGCCTCGTAATGAAGGAAAAAAAACTAATTTTTCTTTGATTTTTTGACTCTTTATATTGTAAATTGATACTGATGCATCCTGAATATGCGGGACTGTGATTAGCTTTTCTCGAATCAAGTCTCAGAAGAGACAGCCATGCTTTCCAAATGATAGTTGCCGTCGGCAGCATACTACAGTAAGAGCTGATTCGAAATACTCCCACGCTGAGCTGTGACGGGGTTTTTATTTGTTTTGATAATGTTAACAATTGTTTATGAACAGCTGTTAAAAGCATTGGCAAATTAGATTTTTTTGCTGCACGAACAATGGATCATCGGTCTCGGCATTTAAGCGGTAAAAGAAAAGATATCAATAACACCATCATGCAGCTTTTCTCGCAATTAAATTTAAATTCAAATATTCTGTCAAAGGTTAACACCTTCAGAAAAACAAAGTGAGCAAAGTTCAGAACAACAAAGTTCTGTCAAACCTTCAGAACAAAGTATCGAATATTTTTATAAAATAATCCCTTCATTTTCTACTTCTCCTAACGAAACTATTTTTCAGGTGGACAGAAAGCGTCGCGCTCAGCTGCGCATGACCATCACGATTGCAATCCAATGTGTTTCGACATTTTTTCTGGACGCAACACCACGAGCAATTGGCATTCTTGGCACGCTAATACCAGCAATCAGCCTAGGTAACACTGAAAGCCTAGTAACGGCATTCCAATAAAGTTCATGCTGCACTAACGTACACAGTTTTCAACAACAGAAGAGGTTTGGCGTGTAGGGAAACGAGAATAGAGTGAAAGAATTGTAGGCCAACAATTTTGGTACCACTCACGAAAACATCCCTTTAGATCCTAAAGGCCTTAACATTTGTCCAATCTGCTTAAAATTAGTGTTCATCACAAAGGCAATGTTTAAAATTTTTATCAGTTTTCGCATAATCAGATCAGCATTAGCAGAAATGCACATGAGCACTGGAAGCGACGTGCTTTTTGCTGGAAACTGTATTTGATTTACACTGTTTAAATGAACAAAATACAAGGAATTTCTACATTTTTTCTATCATTTTTCAGTTCACTTTTCAGTTTTTAAGTTCATTTTCCAAACAAACTTGAGGTTTTTGAAATTCGTCAACAGTATAGCACAAGCTAAACAAGTTAGTGCTAGTTTTTGAGCTACAAGTGAGTCATATCCTGTTGCCTCATATCCAAATACGGATTTGCATTATGGCTTGGAAAAACTGCATTTTATAGGATTTTACC